GACCGCGGTGAGGTCGCCCAGGTCGTCCTGCGTGCGCACGGCCTCCCAGCCCGGCGTCGACGCCGCGGCGACGCCGGCCGCGGGCGCGAAGACCGTGCGCGGCGGCCCGCCGCGGAACGCGTCGTCGCAGTCCGCCGCGTCGGCCGCGAAGACGTAGCACCGCGCGGCGCCCGACCGCCGCGCGGCCGCGGCGAGATCCGCGAGCTCCGCCGCCGGCATGCCGCCGCGCGCGGCGGCCGGCGCCGCGGCCGGCGGCGCCGGCTTCTTCTGGGGCTTGGCGAAGGGGTTCGGCAGCGCCGGCAGCGCGAACGCCGGCGCCGCCGCCGGCGCCTCGGCCGCGAGCGCGTCGACGAACCAGAGCGCGCCGCTCAGGTCGCCCGCGGCCTCGACGCGGTCGGGCGGCACGCTGTAGGACACGGTGGCCATGCCGAACTGGCCCCAGAGCACCTTCTCCAGCGGCTTCGTGTTCCTCGCGAGGGCCACGGGGTCGTCGAGGGTCGCGCCGGGCAGCGCGGCGACGCGCTGGAGCTTGCCGTAGAGGTAGGACGCCCCGTTGCCGCCGGCGACGACCGTGCGCGTCCGCGCGGCGCGCGCGCCGGACGCGAGGAGCAGCGCGAGCGTCACGGGCAGGAGCCGCAATCGCGTCATTGGCAGCTAGCTGCGAGTCCATTGGCTCGGGACACTTCACGTTGAGCTCAAGCACTGCTTCACTGAAGTAGCCGCCACCCGGGAATTAACCCGGGAACCTTAACCCGCCTTACGACAGGCGGAGCGTCGCCGCGGCGCGTTCGAGCGCGCCGAGCACGGCCGGGTCGCACCAGAAGGCGTCGAGGTCCTCGAAGAAGGACACGTGGGGCCCGCCGCGGCCCGCGGCGTGGGCCGCGTGGTAGGCGGCGTCGGGTCGCATGGGCGTGCCGCCGTAGCGCGCGAAGACGGCCGCGCAGTAGGGGTTGAGCCCCCCGGCGTAGGTTTCGTCGGCGCAGGTGTAGCAGTAGGCGTGGGCGTTGCAGGGCCCCGCGAAGTTGGCCGTGTAGCCGAGCGCGTAGCGGTCGTAGGCGTCGAGGTCCGCGAACGCGTTCGGCTCGCCGCGGCTCCTCCGGTCCGGCGCCGCGGGCGAAAAGGTCCCCGCGCAGGTCTCGGGCAGCCGCGCCACGGCCTGCCAGGCGCAGGGCACGCCCCAGGCCGGCGCCGTCAGCGCGGCGCACTTGTC